TATTGAGTTGGCTGCATGTAGAACGAGAAAAGATTCTACAAATGTCATGTCTGCCAATTTAAATTCCAGTGTTACTTCTGTTTCAATTGGCACGAGTTGTCCTCCTGCCATTCTTACTCTCTTAAGTTTTGATTCACTTATTTTAAGAGGGCGGTATAAAGATTTTTCATCTTTTAAGTCGTCAAATGTCTGTTTTGATGACATTTGCGCAGGCTCCTGTATCAACCAGGGCTCTTCTTTGTAATCCCGATGAGAATCGTAATTTTGTGTACGTCAAAACTGTTCCTTCCGCAGGAATTACTGCGTAAAGGTTGATTATCTCATCAGGTGGAATTGACGGTTTTGATGATTTAGATGATTGAAATGATTTGGGGGACTGACTCGGTGGCTTGATTAGTTTTTTGGCTGATTCTGAAACGGAAATGATTGACCGTGTCCTTGTGGTTTTTGTCTCCACCAGCATTGGCTTGCCGTATGGTTGAATTTACCACAAATGTCACAGAATTTGGCTGATGCTCGAACCATTGGTTCGAAAGATCCAGATGGAAGTTGAATGTCAGCTTGCGCTGTCTGAGTTCCATTGAATTGATGTTGTTGTGGTTGCAGGTAGTTCGCGTTTTGCTGTACCTGTGCTGGTTGAATCTGCACCATCGACTGATTTTGCTGCATATTTGGGTACTGTTGGTATTGATACCATGGTGGATATTGCTGAGGTGCAATTGGTCCCATATTTTGGAAATTAGTCTGATTATTGTTAAATCCAAAATGATTTTGCCAGTTAGATCTGTTTTTTCCTTTCCTGCCACTTTGCTGCTGTCCAGGCCAATTATTTTGGTTTTGGTTACCACTGCACTGACTGTTTTGGTTTGCGTTGTTCTTGTTTTGATGAGAAGGCGGATTCAATTGTTTCTTTGACTGCTCAGTTATTTGTGATCTCATTTCGTTGATCTGCTTCTCAATTTGTTCCTGATTTGTGGACAATTTTGTGAGAGCACTGATCAAATTTTCTGAGACTCTGTCGTTTACTTCATTAAATCCGTCTTCCGGGTAGTCTTCGTTTCGGCAAACTTCTCGGATCATGATCTGCTTCTTCGTCAAATTACACAATTCTTGGACAGTAGTTGCTTGTGGTTGCTCCATCAATTTTGATCGCAGCCAGTTTGGCATTCCTTTTATGAACAATCGTTTAATTTGTTCATTGCGATTGTCATTTACTGCATCTATTCTTTCTTGTCGTTGTGCAGTTTCTCGGTGAAATCGCGCTGTGTCTGCTACTAATGGTGCTCCGTTTAATGCAACATCGATTGGGTCGACAGCTGGCAAATCTGGGGTTGGGTACGCTCGTTGCGCTTTATTTGTCAAGTTCACCAAGAAGTTCTCGGGTGAATCGATTTTAGGATCGTAACGTAGCTGTTCTAATTTCAGTACATGGATTTCTTGAAGCTGGGGATTGCAGAAATGATCCCTTAGGGCGCCAAGACTATTCTCTACGTTCGCTCGAATTGCTGCTGGCAGCGTTTGGTAGAATCGTAGTGCCGCTTCTCGTAGGTGTAGTTGCAAGAAGTTCGCTTGCTGACCAGGAGCGATTCCCGCAACTCCGATGTATCCTCGGAACAATTGCTCGAATTGCTGGAAGTCTTCTTTGTCCGTTCCACCGTATGGTGCGACCGAAATTTGCGCGTGTGCCATCTTATTACAGTTGAATGATTATCAGATTTGTGATACAGTTAATGATTGAGCACAGCACTTAGTCGATTTAAGGGGGGCACAAGAAAATTTTGCTAGACTTTCCTTATTTTGGATTATTGAACCTTTATGCATCTATTGCTATTCTGATTTTGGTTATTCTTTCCATCAGGGTTTGCTAATATTTCCGTTACTTCGCTTTTTTTGGTTGGGGAACTTATTAGTTACAATATCAATTTACTGCAAGTGAGTTTTGAGTTTGTTTTTAACTAACTGTTTTGACGTTGGAAACCTTTCATCTACTTCCTTTTCTGCCTCTTCAGTAGCTCACTTGACATACCATCTGACAGAAGTAGAGAAGCTGTAGGTCACAATCCACATGTCTGCTTGTAGATTGGAAAAAGTTGTCAGCTCAGGAGATGTTGAAAAGTTGTGGTTGTCTTCTTTTTTCTCCCTGTCTGTCAGTTGTTCACTGAGTTTTGCTCTGCTGCCAACATCTGAGCATTGCTGTGCTGATCAAGATGTTTTTTTTTTTTTTTGTTCTGCTTCAGCAAAGTAGTGTTGTCACTTTCTGCTCAAATTATGATGTTTGGAATCGCCGATGACTGTTTTGAATCCAGAAGTTGAAATTCCCGCGAAAGTCACCATATAATATACCGTATCTGGCGGATGGATAATACGGGTATACTGTCGTCTACTGTTATGCGAGCTGTTCAATTGGTAATGTTATTTTAGCACTACTGGCTATCAATTGTATTTAGATTGGATTCATTATTTAGATATGTCTCGAGCGGTAAAGACCTATCTTGCTTTAAAGGATGCTGGTTCCGATTCCTAGCTTCTGATATTTCGCAAGTCGATCGGCGCAAGTAAGAGCATGATTGGAATAGTTTATTAAGTTGATCTCTATTCAATTGATTCGTAGCTCGGTATAAATCTCCAATGATTGGTATTAATTACCATCAATGTTTACATAGTTAAATAAATATATGATGCAGCTCTATTTTAACATCAAGGTGAATTATGTAATCTATTCGGTTCAGATGGTTAATTAGAATGAATGACATCATGAAGGGATGATGTCACAGTAGTGAAGACTCTTATATAGGTCTTGCTGATTTTTTTTTCAGGAAAAAGGCTTAAAATGTTGATGCACTTAGGTGTAATGCATTTTTTGAGTTCAATTGAAATTCATCTGCTGAAAGTGACTGAAAAGTATTCTCCAAATACGAACGTGGAAATGGCGATGGTGACGTACCATTTGTACCAACGGTCATTTGTACCAAAATGAAAAGTCGGTCCCATTTGTACCAAAATTATTCAACTCGATTTCTGATTGGTTGAAATGTGAGCCAACGAATTATTACTTTAATTTTCTACTGTTCAAACAGAAGAAAACTAAACAGCAGAATAGTGACCGCCGCAGTCGCGCCAACGTGTTGCAAGCTTGCCGACAGAGGGTAGGACTCTATACGAAAATTAGAGCCGGTTATCGCCGCGACGCGCGCGTAGCGCGCCCACCGGCGACCTTAAACCAAGAGCTTAAAGTAGTCGGCTTAATAGTCTTAGGCCAATTGAATATTTTTGGTACTAACTCGATTGATTTTTTATTTTGGTACAAATGGGACTGATTTATCATTTTGGTACTTGTGAATACCCACCATGGCGATTTCTAGTTTCGAAAGTGGAATATGTTTTTAAGATTTCCCAGCTGAATGAAAACTTTACCTATTGATCCAGTTTTCTCAAGTTGGGTTCATGTTATCAAAAAAGCGCCAATCATTAATTGTTATAGAAATTCAAATAGCTTAAAGGGCATCTATTTTTTTCTTTGAAATTCGAAAGTGAGATTTTTTCAAGAAAGTCAGTGTTTTTTTAAACGTTTACTTGCGTTCATTTTTTTCATTACTCTTTTCCAATCTTCGATTGGCTTTGTTTTATTTGGGCCTTGACTTGGTTCAATTTCGCTTTGGAATAGAGTAGTCAAACCCAGAAGTTCTGCTTATAACAAGGGTATGATCAGGTAGGCTGGTGTGTGCGCTCACTGGAAAAAAGGCTTTTTTGTCTTCAATGTACAAGTTTATAGGTGATAATAATTGACAATAATAGGCAATGGTAGATATCTCAATCCATCCCATCAACTTGAAGCGATAGTTTTTGTCAAACTTTGTTCTTGACGCCTCTTCATCGCCGCCTGTGTTCTCGTTTTTATTTGAATGTGGCACTTGAATTGAGGTAGCTGAAATATGAATTGAGGTAAGCTAATTTTTAATTGTTGATAGAATCTACACCAGCTCTTCTTTTTATTGTAAAATGTCTAATTATTTATCACGATTAAATTTGATTTACGTGAGTGAAAATTACGTAAAAAACGTGAATCTTTATTAGTTTTGAGAGGGGATAACAACTTGTAGATTGCCCTGCGGTTTGAAAAAGCCTTCTGGATTCAGTTTTCTCTAATTTGGGTTTTTTTTTTCGAAAAAAGCTTCAATTATAAATAATTTTTTTTTAAAATCGAACATCGTTATCGTGATTTTTTTCTCTGAAAGCTGAATTGTCAAAAGCCAGTTATTTTTTTTGATACTTTTGCCTTTCTGTTTGCTATTTTTTTTTGGTTGATTGAGTTCATTGAGTTCTTCTCAACTGTCTCTTGCCTATGTTTTCTGTCTTGTTTTCTGTAGATTTTTATACCGAATTTGTTCCCCGTTTTGAAGAGTGGTTCGGACTATTAGGTGGCGATAATTTTTTTTTTCGCTTTCAGGAATAGTTTTTCAGGAATTTTACTATGTAACGGTTTGATTTTTGAATTATTTTCAAGTTCAGTTTATTTCCTCTGTTATAATAAAGGTACTCCCCTATCGAACAGCAAAGTTGTAAAGGTCTCGAAAAACATGATCGACTTCGAATTTCGAAAATGGAAATTAATTATCAGATTTCCCAGCAAAATAAAAGTGTTACCTATTGATCCAATATTCTCAATTAGGATTAATTTTATCTTAAAAAGCGTCAATCATAAATTGTTCTAAAAATTCAAAGAGCTTCAAGGCCATTCTTTTTTTGAAATTCGAAAGTTGCGATTTCTTCAAAAAACAGTATTTTTTTCTGTCTACTTGCCTTCATTGACTCTTTTCTGTCTGGCTGTTTTTGCTTACGTAAGTTTTTCAATAAAATCGCGATCAATGTGGACATCAGTGGTGTTCTCCCAAACGATTCTATTTTGCATTTATAAATTTTTATAAATAACTTTGTAAGTAGATATCGTTTGGAAACAATTTATTATTATTATTATTGTTAGCTTTCGATTTTATTTTCAGCTGGGAATTTGGATAATATCAATGTGACTGGAAATAGTGATGACATCGTGGCGTTGACTGATGATTTGAGGCCGAAGGCAATAGTGCCAGACATGTCTGAGTTTGCCGCAGCCGAAGTCAACGTAACAACTACTTCTGATTTCCCAATACAGGTAATGTTAATCAATAAAGATGGATCGTTGATGGCTTCTCAGATAAACTTTTTTAAGATAGATGACGATTCAAGAACTGTCTAAAATCTGATTATGTTTGTAATTGCATTGTCATTATAAAAAAAATTCGCTGAGTTTTTGTTTAAAATGTGGGCCTTTTTTTTAAATGTGATCTTGTTATTTTTCTCTGCGACCGACAGTTTACGTAATTTAAGTCTGCTCGTCTGTTTTATCTGCTCGTTCTACATGCTGATAGTGTAAATAGTGAAAATCCAAAAATTTTAATCGAAATAATTAACATACATGTCGGCATGGGATTTTCTTGTTTTCTTGGGAGTTGACGATTTCTCGTTCATAATACGATGGGAGAAATATATTTTTGGCATGTTATGTTCGAATCTCAGTAACACGCGCGAATTTGTTATCTGATCATGTAAATGTTTATGCTGCTAAAGCATGAGCTAAATTTTATTAGGTTTTGAATATCTCGTTTCGAACAGTGCTGCACTGAGTTAGTTTAGTGCTTTTTTTTGGGTTTAATTTTTTTTGAAATCTGCCAGCAAAAATGAGAACCAATTATTTTTGTTTTATTATGAAGTGGTAATGAACGTAGTGAAGACACTTATATACGTCGTGATGATTTTTGTTAGTTTTTTTTTTCGGGAAAAAATCTTAAAATTTATTCACCTTAATATTGATCTTCTGTGGTTTGACTTCTACTTCTTTTTAAGTCAATTTTCAATTAAGTTTTTAATTACAGTGAAAATTGTGAACGACTTCTAGTTTCGAAAATGGCTTTTATTTGGAATAAAAACTGTACCTATTGAATCATAAAATATTCTTGGACTTCAATGTGCTTTAAGTGCATATATATATTTTTCAAAATTCGGAAGTTGAAGTTTTTTTTGTTTCCTTGCTTTAATGACTCTATATAAACGCCGAAAGTGGCTTTTGTTTTTTTTAGATTTCCCAGCGGAATGAAAATTTACCTATTGATCCAGTTTTCTCAAATTGGGTTAGTTTTTATCAAAAAAAAGTGCTACGTTAACACAACTGTAGTTGATAATGTCTAATTACTACTGCTCCCACCCAGCTTCCTAATTCCTCTAATCACAACATTCACAAAAAGGAACGACACATTTTAAACATTACGAGGCCAAACTGTGCATGTTGTGAATTGTGAGCGGATTCCGCAACAACGATGCTCCCTTTGTTCTTCTTTTGTTTTTTCATTTCCTTTGATCGTTCCGACAAAATTTTATCATGTTAAAGACTTGTTTTTGGAATCCAGGAACAGACAGACACGAAATTGTGTGCCTATCCAGTGCTCAGTTTGGCCTCGTAATGAAGTTTTTTTTTGTTCCGACCATTTGAAAAATGTGGAGGAACTTTGCATTTGGGTGCGTTAGTTTTTTTTTGTTTTCCACGCAAAATCAGGTACTGTGATTTACCAAATTGAAGCCCTTTTAGTCGTGATTCGAACGACAATAAAATTTTCTAAAAGATTTCTCAGTATCGAGAAAAACTGGTTAAGAATTTTAGATTTTCATTTCAATTTTGAGCGAATAATGCGAGTGAGCAGGCTTACAACTGCCTAGGTTAAGCACTTAGTATTAAGAAATTAAAATTAGTTTTTGCGCCATTTTGGGAACCAAAAACTTCACAAAAAATTGAAAAAGTTTTCTGGAACAAAATTTTGAAGTTTTTCTAAGCTTTGATTTTTTGTTTTTGTTGCAAGTCTTTTTGCAACAAAAGTTTTGACCAATTTGCCTATAATACTATGACTATCGAATATGCCGACGTTATAGTTATACGTCTGATCCTTTTATCACACCACGCAGAAAATACTAAAAATTTGTAAGCTTGCAGTACATATTTCTGTGCTGCTTTCCAGGAGCCGGCTACTTCTATTGAAAAAGTGATTTGGTTGAATTTTGAATTGAATTGCTAAGTTTCGGGAATTTTATCAAATACTTCAATGCAGTCAGTTAACACTTCAGTTGTCATGATTTAGGTGAGTGAAAGCGAAGAGGATGCAATTGTGTTCCTACGCGAGGATCTCTACACTCCTCCACTTGTAGACTTGGTCGCCTCGGACAATGAAACCACTGCAACCATGCAATTAGAAGATACATCACTGCCACAAACGAGCTCAAGAAGCGAAGACAATTTGATCTCTATAGTTCGACCACCAATACAACTCAGTGCTGTTAACTCCATGAAGAACTGTGTGGAACAGCGCAATGGCGGTATAGACGTTGTCGGTACCAGCTACCATCATAGAAGTGGTGATAGTTCGAGTAGTGACAGCTTTAATGATATTTCAAGGCCAACTGCACCGAAGTTGCTGAAACATTACACCAGTACAAGTTCAGCTAGTGAACAGGAAAGAGAGAAGACGAATGGAAGAGATAAGTGTAGAGTACGAAAGCGACTGAAGCGAAAGAGAAGACGCCAATTGACGCATTTGAGGTCTCACAAGCGAAGCACAAGTTACACACAAGATGGAGATAGTGCGTCTCCAATTAAGAAATTCAGATGTGCGGCTACGAACCAGTTTGACGATGACGAAGAGCGGGGGTTCGAACTGCCGAGTGTGACTAACTCGGAACCTGCACCGGCAACTTTTGGTCGGTTTTTCTCCTTTGGAGATTCCAATGGAGTGGGAACGAGTAATGAAAATTCACTGGACAACCCGATAGATCTAAGTATGGATCAATCTGCCTCTACGTTGAATCGCGAGGGACTTGTTGGGAACCATCCTCTGTCGGGAATTCTGAGCTATAGTAACACCAATGGCTACTCTTCTGATTCAGAAGGCGAACAGGAGGCTTCAATGAATATGAGAACTAGATACCATCCCTACATTTAACCATCATCAATGACTAAAAACTGTATTTGATTGTGTAATCTCACTCAAGATTGAGTTTTTGTTGAAGTAAGACGGAGGCCGATCAGACATTTAGAGACTCGATTTTATATTTTTGTAACTTGTCGCTAAAATCTACAAGTTTACCACCTCCGTGAAAAAAAAATACAAATTCAAATAGGAAAGCGGGTTGCTGTGCATGTAGCACAGAATGTTCCGACCACATTCATAAAAAAATACAAGAAAAAGTTTTTTTTCTTTCTTTTCTATCGCTGTTTTTTGCGTTGGTGTGATGAGAAAACTAGAAAGTATAAAAATAGCAAATTAGACAAAGTTGACTGCAAATAGCTGCAAAAATGAAAAACAAACAAAAACTTATGAAAAAGGTTCAGAAATTGTGTTTCTGTTTTTTAGTAATGTTTTAATTTTTTATTTCACTTGATAGAGCTGCTTTTTGATCTTGTTCTCACAAGTGTTTGCGAAGCGTAGCTTTGCCTCTGTGTAAAGCTTCCACACCTAGTTTGTCATTAAGTAACATTATTATTTTTATAAAATTAATTGACCATTTTCCATCAATTTTTATATAAGGAACTGGACTTGATCGTATAACTCGCTCGAATTAAGCATAAATCTCAAGGGCTTAAACCTATTTCTCTCGACACTGGAAAAGACTTTTAAAATTTTTTTTGAATCACTACTGAAAAGGGTTTAAAATGAAATATCATTCAAACCATTACTTGATTGTTTGTGGTACTTGATTTAAAAAAAAATAACTAACACCCGAATAGAAAGTTACTCGCCATTTTCAATCGTGGGAAAAAATATTTTCAGATTTTTGTTAGCAATCAATGAAGCATTATTCGACCCATGTAGATTTTAAAGATGTCTGTTTGAGTTTCGTCTGACCTTGTTGCATGTCTTTTCTTTCGGATTGTATCTTATAATAGTTCTGTAATTTCTCAGACAAATTTATTTTTAGTTCTTCGGTTTTTAAAAAAGGACAGAAGCTGAATGCAAGCTTGACAACATTGGCAGTTCCAGAATACGCTGTTCAAGTTGACTACTTTCGACGTCCAAAAATTAATAGCTAAATTTTGCCTGTTGCAATGAAAGGGACGGGGTAACGATAAAAAGTAAATGATTGAAGTGGACTTTCACTTTTTTGGGTCGCGTGATTTTGTTGAGTACGCAGTGTATATATTAGCCGTACATTTGCTAAATAGAAGCAAACTAAGATACTCGTCTAGGCGCTAAATGCAGCTGACCCAACTAATTTTCTTTAATTTATAGTAAAATTAGGTTTCTTAGTTTGACCAATTTCCATCAATAATTATATAACAAACTTAACACTGTGGTAAGTCGTTCCCTTTGAAATCGTCAGATCGTGTATTCGATCCCATGCCATGGCAATGATAGTGTGTGAGGACAAGCTCTCACTTGACCTCCAGCTTCAGGTCTACCACAACCTCACCAAATTTGGCTGCAATAGTGGTACCACGTAAAAGTTCTAGACACAAAAAACAACGGCCTTGAGTCGCAAAAAAACAGCTTCGCTCAGCAAAATATAACACTGTCTGGAATGTGAGGAGATAGTACAAATGGAATATCCTCGACAGGACTGTTAAGGCCTACTGATAGCTCCTCTGCGATTCGCAGGAACTACAATTATTAATTATTATTATAACAAACTACTCGATTGTGTTACTCGCTTGAAATTAGAGTAAATCTCAAAAAAAGTAAAAACTAAAACACAGCGGAATACAAAAATCTCTGCTTGTTCACACTTGAGAATTTGAGCGTGGTGTAATATTGCGATTTTTTTCCCAACTTAACTCACAAATTAAAACGCTCATTTGGCGGCATTTTTTCATTACAACAATCAAGCATTGATAATTTCATACCATATGTTTCCTGCTTTATTTGTGCCTAGTGTGTGACTTGTTAAGCGTCCGTTGCTTAGTGGTTAGAGTGGAAAACTCGTAATCTCGTGATCGCAGACACACAAAAAAGGTCTTCAAATCAAAAGCTTACAAATGTTGTAATTATAGATTTAGTCAGAAACAAGTATTTGTTTCGTTTATAAAGGTATTCAATGCTTTAGGCGCATATTCTGGATTTGACCAGTCCTGTTTCATAGATTTTAAAAATGTCGCTTTAATAAACAACGAAAAGAGTTTTTCTTGATGGGATCGTGTTGTTTTTTTGTTGGAAAACAAATAGTTTTTTATCTAGGACGACTATGTGCATGACTGGGAGAGTGTAAATGGACTGAAGGGTGGTTGATGGTTGACTGAGACGGGCGAAAATTTGGCTGGATCAATAGATGACCGGACCGATGGAGGTCAATATTGATAGATGGAAAGCTGATTCGATGGTTGGGTTGAAGACAGGATAACTGTATGGTCGGCCGGATGAATAGATGAAAGGCAGGATGGATAAATAGCCACGTCGAAGGAAAGCTAGTTGAATGAACAGCTAGTTGAATGAACGGATGGCAAAATGAAAAGATAGCTGGTTGGATTGATGAGTCGACGGCTGGATGAATGGTGGCTTAATGAGTGGATGAATGGCTAGTTAAGTGGATGCATGTGAATGTTGAGAGGGGCTAGACAGGAGGGGTCGATGGATGCATGGATAGCAGGATAGATGAACGGAAGGATGCCTAGATGGCTGGCTTAATGGATGACTGATTGGAGTGATGGATTGTTTGAGTATTGGCTGAAATGATGGATGATTGCTTTGATTGATGGATGGCTGGCTGGTTCCATGGATGACTGGTTGGTTGGATGGCTAGATAGAAGTCTGACTAGATAGATGGCTGGCTAGAAAAATTGAAGGATTCCTGGTTCGATGTTTAGTTGGATGAAGGGCTGTTTGGATGGATTGCTAGATGCATGGGTAGATGGATCGATGGCTGAGTGCTTGACTAGATAGTTGAAAGTATGGATGGATGATTGGCTGGTTGGATGGATGGCTGGTTGTTGGAACCGATGGACAGATGAGTGGATAGGCAGCTGGTTCGTGGTCCAGATAGATGAATGAATTGATTGCTACATAGATGGATCGCTTGATGAATGAACAGCTTGATGGATGACTAAATGCATGGCTAGATAGATTTGCCGAATAATGAATCATTGACTGGTTGGATAAACTAATGGCTACATAGATAGATAGCTCGAAAAATGAATCACTACATAGATGGACAACTGAGAGGATGGCTGGTCGGATTGATTGCTCAATAGATTTATTGGATGGATCGCTAGATGAATAAGGCTTGATCAATTTGTACGTGGCTTGAACGATGGATTGATAGTTGGAAGGATGGCTAAAGGGAGGGATGGCTTGTTGGATGTTTGAATGGTTATTTTTATCTGAGAATGATGAACGGATTTGAGCAGTCAAACTTAGAGCCACACTTTCAACCAAACCTGAATTTTTATAATTTGAAAAGAAAAATTACATCTGGGCTTTTCATAGTTTTTTCTAAATAAAAACCGTGATATTTTGAAAACAAAAATGTTTGAGCAGATATATTGCAGGCAATATTTGCAATTCCTGCGAGTACTATGACACAAATTCACCCACTTCACTACAGGATTAAAAAGTTAATTTTTTGTCAATTGTTTCAAATCTCAGATTTTTAAAACTGAATAAAAAAGGAAAAACGTCAAACCTTGGAAACAAAAAAGATTTTGAGCAGGCAGATTTGAAGGCAAATTGCAATTGCTAACAGTACCCTGACCCCACCCTATTATAAGGTCGGAATTTTCATTTTTTTGAAGCTTTTAAACTCTTTTAAACTTTGACAATTTACTTTAAAAAGTCACAGAAAAAGGCACATCTCGGAAACGAAAAATTTTTAGATGTTCCTTTTGCGTAGACTAATGCCGAAACCCGTGGAGAACCCCGATAGAGCCTCATCATAAGGTAACTAATTGAAAAACGCTCAAACGAAAAATGCCCGTTACATCATGTATAGAGGGATGATTTCACCCTTTACATTACACTACACTGCACTACACTGCTCCTCTCCTCCCATGCTGGCATCCTTGCTAGAGTTTTAAAGTTGGGCCTTTAAATAAGCCTAGCTATTATAGACTGGAAATGGAAAATAATCTTAAGAATTGCTATATCCTCTGAGAAACAATCTTGTAGTCGATTGTTAGTCTATTTAAAGATAACAGCTCTACATAAGAAGGACGAAACTTTCAATTGTCTTTTTTTTCTAAGTACTGCATTTGAATATCAAATACAGTATTCTCTTGGATAAGTTTTCCAGAACAAAATAAAACCAAATTCTAACAAGACTGCATCTTTTCAATGCAGAACCGGTTCTGATTGTCCCTGAAAGCTACACAATGAGTGTTTACCGAGAAACTGAACCAAGTTAACAATATTTTTCTAAATGAATACAGGAGGAGATTGTTCTTTTGGTTAAATTCACTTTTTTCCCAGCCAATCAGAATTCAGCATTTCGCAAGCTGGTTCTACTGCTAAAATTTTCGAATCAATTTTACCTGAGAAATTGTTCTCATGATTAGCTTAGGCGGAAGATCACTCACTTGGGCTAGATCATAGATGAAAAAATAACAAAATAATTGAAAAGATGAATTATTTTTAGTTTTTATTGCTTTCCTCCAGTTGCTGCAAAAACAAAAAGATAAATTTAGCATCGATTATTTTAATGAAAGGGCCAATTTAGCCAAATAAACAATTTTCAAGCCTGTTATTTTACAAAAAAAAAACAAATAATCAATTTTCAAACGCCCGTAATTTTACAAAATAAATACTTATTGTAATTTTCTTAAACTTGATTTTAAAAATCTATTTTTTTATATGCTTTCAAAAATTTTGTTAAATTGTTTATTAAAATAAAAGTTGTTTCCGTACTTAAATCGTTTCCAATGCACTTCCGAAATTTAATTGCAAATAAAACACACGTGTTCAGTATACTTTTGTGCCATATTGGAAACAACTGAAACTTTCAAACCAGAAGTGCAATGATTGAAAAACTAGTGCAATGTTTGGAACATTTAAATCTTGCACTTTTATTTCAAACGTTGCACTAAATTACTAATTATGAAATTGAAACATTTATGCAACTTTTGTCCTAGAACAATTAACGTAGAAAAATACAAAGTAAAAATTTTATGTGAGCATGAAATTTTTTTCAAATGTTGGTAAGTTGTTCAAACTTTTCTTATCTGTTTCATATCAGATAAGCAACAGATAAGCAAATGTGTGTCTCGTTTTGTTCACAATTTTTCTTGCTGCTATATGTAGCTGTAGTTTATCTACTACGAAAAACATTAGTGGGCAACACGTTTCCATGATTTATTTGGACAACCAAGCAAACGAAATGGAAAGTGAAACCTACCTGCTGGCCTATATATTTTTTTCTTAATTGTACCAGCTAAGCAACAGTTTAATTTGCAAAATTTGAATTCAATCCATCTCGACACTGCTTGTCTTGCTCTTTTCTCAAATTTTTACGAATCAATATTTGGCAGTTGCTTATCTTCTACGAAAAACTAGTCGAAGCTTAAAAATTCCATCATTTTTTTTTCAAAAACCGGATTAACAAAACACGGAGTACAAAAATTTCCCAAATTTTCACTATCTCGGTGCTGCCTC